AATAATAATAATAAAAGCACCTCATTATGTATTTCCTCCGTTTCATCATCCGAATCCGACTCCACATCCATTTCAACTGCTTGCTCGGCGGCAGCTTTAGCTGCAGCTTCCTCAAAAACAAAACAAACGTTTCAAAATTATCACATAATTAATCTTAATATGCATATAAACAATAACAACGATAAATATTCAATTCAATGTACACAATAATAATAATAAACAACAATAAACAATCAAATATCTGAAATGAATAATTAAGCGAACGGATACATAAATAAATAATTAAATAAACTGTCTAATGAACAAATAAATAATTAAACGAAATAAACAATTAATTATATGATAAAAGTATAACCTGTCTTTGTTGCATCAATATTCGTGCGCCAACATCTTTCGGTGTACAAAACGGTGGAAGGGTCGCTGAAATTTCGTTAAAATTTTCAAAAAATTTCGATGAAACAAAACAATTTATTTGAGATGATAATACCACAAAATCGACAGAATCAACGCACTGAACGTTCCCATTCCATAACCACAACACATAAAAATGTCAACACTAATAACAATAAATCACCAAAAAACAACAACTCACCTGTATCATTNATCGGAAAATCGACCGTTTGCACCACAACAAAATCATGCCAATCAATCTGTGAATACGCCACCCTCTCACGTTCAGCCTTAAATTCCATATTTTACATCAAAAAATAAAAATAAACTGATATGAAACCTCTTCGCTTCTAACTCTTTTGCTCACACAATGTTCAGATGAACTAAAATCTGTGCTTTGACTAAAACTCAACTTTGCCCCACAGCCTAAAAATAAGCTCCACTTTCAACAATACAACCCAAACCACTGTCAAATCTGCTCGAATAAACCCCAAACAATCAAAAGATATAATAAGTAAACTTGAATAATGAACTCACAAAAGTGAACAATTTATAAAGAAGTGATAAAACACAACACAAAATCGATCGATCCAAAATGAATAACCATCAACAGAAACGAATAAATGAATGATAAGCTGAACGCATTACCTCCGCATCTTCTTTATCTTTCTGTGATTTCTGATACTTCTCCCATCCCACACGATATTTCACATTATCTAATAATTTCTTCCGATTCCCCTCTTCAGCTTTCAAGTCGTCAATAATCGCTTTTGCCGGAACGATCACCTGAAATTTAATTAACGCCTCAAATAACCCTCTAAAATTCATCACGAATC